CAACCACCACCTCAATGCTGCAACAAAGTAAATGCTATTAAATAAATACAATGAGGTAGGCGATTCGCTTATTTCTTTCTCTATCTGCGCGCAGTCAACGCAGCACTCCACCGCAGCAGTGGCATACATTCACAACAAATTTTCAGGCCAACAAATATATGTATAAACATATGTATAACTATGTGTATGCAATCATGTTGCTGCATGTGTGGCTGTGCAAGCTTGTAGTGCACACTTACCTACACACGCACACCTGTTGCCAAACCAGCTGCACTGCTGAGCTCATGTGTGCCACACACACTGTAGAGAAGGTGAAGAAAATTGCTCTCTAAAGTATTTTAATAAATTATTTGCTTTTATTTTCAGATAGAAGATAATCCAAATAAATTAAAATATTTTTCCCTGCTATCAAGATGCATACAAATGTTATGATATTCAAAGTGTGGCGGAGGCGCTAATTTCGTGTGGGTGATTTAATACCCCCGGCATATATGTATTAGGCAAAAAAAAAAAATAAATAAATTCAAAACTAAAACTGCAGTCATCGAAAATAAAAGAAAAAAAGATTTTTTAATAAAAATTAGAAATATTTTTGAAAGTAAAAAAGAAATGGAAGCGATTGAAAGCGATGCCGTGGAAAAGGTGCTCACTAAAAATATTTTTTAAATATGTTTTTTTACCGAAATAATTAATTAAATAAATTATTTAAAAGTCTTTATATTTTCTGGTATTTAGTTAATATATTTTTTGATTATAAAAATTAAATTTTTTTTATTGGATTTTAATTAATAGTTTTTTCAAATAATATTTTCAATTAAATTTTAAGACATAAAGTCATCTAAAAATAAAACTCTTAAAAAAACCGTAACCGAAAGATTTAATAGGTATTATTTAATAAAAAAGCCGGCAGCTTCATTCAGAGTAGAATGGAGCAGCTGAGCAGAAAGTAAACTAGGGTAACTCGGAACTCATAAAGCGCTTTTTGGGCAGCAATTTTCAAAGCTCACACAGCTTTCCACTCTTTATATTATTTTTATTCAAAATATGTATTCAAGATATGTATTTTATTTATATAAATTATTTGTTTTTATAAAGTGGTTAATTATGCTACCTTTAAGTTACTTTAAACCCACTAGTGTAGTCAGAACGATGCATATAACTTCATCTTCAGAGACAGCAAGTATAAGCTCTAGGTTTGATCTCGACAAACTGAATGTCGTAGATCTCTGCAGGATGTAGCAGAACTGAATAGAATAGAGAATAAATGCATGGCAACAAAGTCAGGCCGCATTAAAGTTGAAAAAAAGCTCAATCTGTCACAAGTCGAAGCAAACTTGATCGAAAAGTGAGCGTGAATCAGGAAGAATACTGAAGGGATGTCATACTCGGAGGTTGTGAACTATTTTTAAAGTTGTTGCATGAGGTAGAGTAGAGTGGAGGTAGATTTAGACAATTTCAGGTTAGGACTAGGCAATTTTTTTTTTCGTATAACCACAATTATTACCGGGTACTCGGCAACTACTTTCAAGTAAAATAACTTAACCTTTTGAAAAAAGCATGAAGAAGATTAAGTAAAAGATTTGATGTCTGTAGCAAAATTTAGATCTTTTCACTTCACCACAGTAGCCGGTGCGATATGTGAGCATTTTATTTTATTTTATTTTCTTTTCACTTCACCACAGTAGCCGGTGCGATATGTGAGCATCCATATAAATGTCCCAAAGAAGACTCGCTGTCCCATAACTATATTAACCTTTGATTGCCTTGTAAATTAAATTAGGCTATTATCAACCTTACAGTTTCAGTTGTATCTTTTATAAGAATCCCACTTGCGCTAACCGCCAAACACCGGCGCCTCGCTAGAACTTTCTATGGAAGATTTTCAAAGGGCTGCCAGGAGGCAAAAGCCTACAAATCCATCAGCAACGACGAAGACTCCGCTATTACGGTTGGGAATCTCTTTTAACCCGCCCCAAATAATCTCCGGTAAGTGGAAAATCTATTGGGCGGTCGCAACAAGGGAGAGTCATATCGGCCGATATTTCTGCTATCTCCAATAGCCACACAACACCTGAGTTCAGCAGCACATTTGCATGGCTTCCGAAAAGCGCTGTAAACACCCCGATAATACGACCCCTACGGGTTAGGGGCTCAAGAATTTACCCGTGGTAAGGCATGCCTGTCGTAAGAGGCGACTAAAATCCAATATCCCGCGACAGTCGGGTCTTTTACCAGAACGACCCGGATTTTTATCCGGCCAAGGACTGTCACTCGCGCAATATTCCCCAAAAAGTACTTTGGGGAATAATTTGCGGTTACAACAACAACAACCCCGATAGTACATAGCCTTAACAACAACCGGCTCTATGAGCGAACCGGTAGCACTGGATTTGTCAAATGCCGCCGTCAGCGCCAACCGTTCGGTGCTACATTGAGGTAGCCTTATTACCAGCGCTGTTGAAGAGATGAAGTAGAGTGGCAGAGTTTCGAGATTAAATTTCAACTACAGCTTCAATCTGGAAATACTCGGCTGTCCCTTTTAGCAGTTGGAGGGAGAAGTAGTTGAAGTTAAAGTTGATGGCGTGAAAACTTCGAAAACTCACTAAAGTGTCTGCTAGTCACATTCGAAACTCTGCACTGCTTCACTCCCCATACGATTGTGATTGCCAGAAAAGCAAAATCTGGATATAGTGGCGGTCTTGAGTCCTACCTATTCAGACTATACACCGACACACCTCACGTGTCCTGCCAAATGAGACCCGCACAACACTAACCTCGTATTTGCATACCACCTAAAACCAACTCGTGCGAGCCTGTCGAGGCAGTCCGTTTCCTGGACCTACCGTTAGATAACCTCGATGATTTGAACCAGTCTCGCCTGCTCTTAAGCCAGATTGGAGAACTGCTATAGACACAAAAACAATAACATTATCATATATTCCGCTCTCTTTATCTGGTGTTTGATTTCTGCCATCTTAGAAATATCCCCTGTTTTGAGTGAGCACCGTGGGCTTTTCCGATCCCATTTTGGTCAAGTCTGATTTTCACTTTTATTATAAAAATCTCCCCAATCATAAACATCCCTACTTGGCAAATTTACTCTCCATCTACCTGCCGCACATGCAAATTTACACACAAACAAGTGCACCAGCTTCTGATGATAAAAGAGATCTCAAAGTAAATGAGAGACTGCATAGCGCTGATCTTTCGCACTCACGAGCAACCGAACGGTTTTCCGTGTTATGCTCAGCAGCAGCAGAACATTACCGATACTAAACATATTTACATAAAGAACGAAATTTGAATATCTGACGCAAGGAAAATGAGAGCTCTTCTTCTCATTCTATAAATTTCTTTTATGCTCCTCGCACCGCAGCTCGTCGTGCCTCATCGTAAAGAAACGTAGCGAAATGCGGCCGGCGCCACATGTTGTGTTTTGTATGCAACGCGCTGAGTAGTGTGCGCCGCTAATGCCGCAGCGCCGGTAGCGAGTGAGTTCTCGGAAGAAGTTGAATTCATTTTCAGTCGTTTGACAACGCGCCGTGCAAGCGAAACGTATGCGCAACAACTATCGGCTTACGGGGATGGGACAATCGCACGACATTTTTGTGTACATCGCACCCTCGCCGCGCTACAAATGAAGTGGAAAGTAAATTTGGGGAGAAATGTGAAAATAAAATAAAATAAAATATTTTGCTTTTCGCTCGCTGATTTTTAAAAATAAATTTGGATAGAAAGAAGAAAAGGAGAAAAATGATAGAAAAAGAAGAAAATATTCAAAAAATAAAAACAAATCAAATAGAAAAAACAAGTAAAATAAATTAAGAGCGCGCGCGGAAGACAAAACGCAGGCGATACGAAATAAAAGTGTCTTTTAAATATAAACACTGCAGCTGCACAAATATAAATGACGTGGCTGGGTAGCGCGGCAAACGCATACACGTACACATAGCCGTGACGCGCCGCAACGCGTTCCACTTTTGCAACGCGCTTGCCGTGCGCGCGGCACTCTACGCACCGCTTTTTATTTTTTTTTCAATATACATAAATATTTGTTGGTGTTTTTGCAGTTTCATGCATTTCAACCGCCAAGCGTGTAGCGCTGTGCGCTTTTATGTGTATGCGTTATTAATTTGTTAAGCCAGTGCGCGTCAGGATTAGCAAGGGATCGTAGCGATTGAATGTTGGCGCGTGTGAGTTGAAAATTGCGTGCGTTACAAAAACAACAATAAATCAAAAACACATATATATATGCGCACATGAAATAAAATAATACACTTAGCGTTACAAAGTGTGCGCTGGATTTTCGCAAGTCCATTGCACTGACTGTTTGACTGCCAGTTAGCGCGGCGGCGGCTTGCAATTTACAAGAAATTTATAGTCAATTGTTGTGAATTGTAGTGTCATTGTTGTAAGTGTATTTAAATCAAATTCAATGCGGCATTATGCATACACTTAAACATATATAGGAAAGTAATACAAAAAAGTGCTTACTTGAGGAGCTCAATGCACGGGAGTGCGCCGCATCATTTTAGTTGGTAGCGCGCTCTATCAGTATCACGACAGTCATCGATTGGGACGCACATAGGTGATTGAATGGCAGCGCTCGAGCCCTAAAAGCACACACGAGCCAACGCCAATGCACTGAGTAGCAATTAAAAGTGTTCGTGTCAATGATAATTGATTGATGTGCGCGCGGCAGTGAACGCGCTACGCGCAACATCTGTATTTTTGCAAAAAAAAAAAAAAAAAAATCATTTAGTTTTATAGTGAAAATTACACAAATATGTGGAGAAAATCACAAAAAAAAAGTAAAGAAATAAAATAAATAAAAAAATAAAATAAAAAATTATATAGAAATTATTACGGAAAACTCTTAAAAATATATTAAAAACAAAAACTAAAAAATAAAAAAGGAAAAATATTTAAAAAATAATTAAAGAAATAACAACAAAAAAAATATTTCAAAAACAGAAAAACTAGCAAAAAGTTCTCAATAATATGTAAATAAGCGTCGAAAATGTGTTTTTTAACAAATAAAAAATTCATCGAGCAAATTAATTTCTATTAAAAGTGCTTAGCAAAGTAAATGAACCCATGAATGCCTGCCCTAACTTCGCCACTGCCCGTGTTCACACGATAATAAAAATATATATATGTAGACAAAATGCTAATTTTGTATGAAAACGCTGTTAGTTAAGGTTAAATTAGCTAACAATAACTGCCAAGTCAAAGAGTGCATTCAAAAAAAATTAAAAAAAAAAAAAAATAAAATAGAAAGAAAATTTTAGCAAAAATCGCCTTTAAATTAACAAAGTGTGGGGCAGTATAAAACACTAAAAGAAAGCTGTAAATGCTATAAATTGAAAGAATAGCAAAAAAAAAAAAAATACAAAAAAAAAATACAAATAAAAAGTAAACAACAAAGCACAGATTTGCAAAGAAACACCCACTGAAGGTGTGAAAGGCGTTTCTTTCTTCTATTTTTTTTTTTTTTTGCAAAGTTCACGGCTGGCTTTTGTGCCAAATACGTAATAACAATGTCTTCCTATCGCAGTAGTTATGTAAGTAACAAAATATAATGAAAAAAAAGAAAAATCAATACAAAGTGTTGCTTCCAATATCTGTATATATATAGTTGTGTTTATGCTAACTTCTAAGTGCACGCATTTGAGTGCAAAATTATGCGCCTGCTCTCTGTCTATCAATTCCATCAAAGTTTTCAGTTAATTTCTGACATTTGATTTTGTTGTTGGCGTACAGCAGTTGTTGGCAAGTGTTTGCGTGTTTACACTCTTGTATTTGTGTACAATTTCCAACACACATTTGCTGACGTGTGTTCTCCTCATGGTATTTAGCACAACGGTGTTTTTGAGTTATGTGCTAAATACTAAATTGTTTTTCGTCTTTCGTCGTCATTTCTTTGGTAATTGCAAAATGATGACACTTTGCGTTAAATAATATGGAAAATGTTAAGTTTTGGAATCACCGTTTGGTTTCAGAAAAAGTAATCATGCTTGATAGACTTTGAAGTATTTCGGGATTAAGGCACAAAATAATTAAATTAATCGCTAAGAATCACTTCAAAATTTTTCAACACTTTTGCATGCATTTTAACCAATCATCGAATCACTTCTGTCACTCTGAGGAAGCTAACTCCAGAGCAAGTATTTTGAAAGCAACAACGGCAAACTTTAGGGGTCGTAAAACCTGATCTCTTAATTTATGTTGTAAGTGTGAAAATGAAAAGAGGTCATCTGGTGTGAGACTCATCAAATCGAGGTTTTGAGTGCGCAGAAAATGTAGTTGGCTCAATCGATGTGTGAGAGCTCGCATTGCCGTGATGAAGTGTGCACCGCGTGCGGCGATTGTTTTCCCTGACTTATTGAAAGACAACTGGCAAACAAATGATTGTGTATCATTCAAAATTTACTCTTCCGCGTTGTTCTGGTGGTTTGGTTGCAATTTGTCTAATTTTTCCAAAAAAAAAAAAAAATGAAATGAATGAAGTAGAGACAGGGTTTCGTGCGCGCGCAACTTTTATTGGATTTGATTTATCTTTAAACACGCTGTATGTATCGATGGCTGTTTACTTTTGGGCTCAATCGTGTATAAATACGGTTGGCTATCTGTCACGATGTCATAGAAGTGTTTCGGAGCGTCGCTTTCGTATATTTATAACATAACTCTCGTCCACTCGACACGAGCTATTCTTTGAGTGATTGACACATTATGCTTGATCTAATGTTAAAAAAAGTATTAAATCTAGCTGGTTCCACTATTGCCTATAGTTGCCTCAACCCAACGCTAGTTTACATGAGGAGCTTGCAATATCAATTTGCGCATTACGTCAATAGTGTGCGGAACAACTACTGGCTTTTGACAACCTTCACCACATTCCTCTTGGAGTGATCTACGACTTCGACTGAATTCACCATACCAACGTTAAACATTGATTTTTGATGGGTTTCATTACCCAAAATTAAATTAAGTTCATCGAAGCGCCATTGCTAAGCTAATCCACGTTGAAAGTTTTAAAAATAATTATGCTTTATTTATTTTATTTATTTTTGGCCACGAAATTATTGTATTTAATTTATGTCAAAATGTTCCGAGTATTTTGTCGGTTTTTAAACTCGAAGAGACTATATTCTTACTAATCTCGACATCTGAAATCTAATCTCGGTTATTTTTCTTGTTAATTAATACTTATTTAAATGTCCACGGCAAATAAAAAAAATACAAAAATCACATTATTTTGAATTAAATCAAATTTTTTTTTGATATTTTTCTAAATTTAAATTTACCGTGTGACATACGAAATCAATATTTTGCGTTAATAATTTGAAACCAGACAAATTTTCGGGGTTTTCCTAAAAATAAATAAATTAAAAGGTTAATATTCGAGTAAAAATTCCAAAATATAAAAAAACTGAGTTTTGAATTGGAATTTCGTCCCGTGCAAATTCGGCAGTTTACTGCAATTTCTTTTAAAATGCATTATAATACCAAACGAAAGTGGAAAGTTGTTCTAAAATACAGTTGCTTCAGTTTGAACGCACCTCTTACGATATGGTGTTTAATCATTTTTTTTTTTAATTTTGTTCTTAATAGGTTTATTATCAACACTGTTTTGAATGTAAATTCCTCGGGAGATTTCTCAATTTTCCCTCTTTTCCTATCAAAAATAAAAAAAGTTTTGCGGATATTTTCTCTTTACTCTTTCTCGTATTTTAAACAAACTTCGGAAATGGGAAAAATTCCTAGTGAAAAAATTGGCATCACCAATGAAAATAAAGTGGGAGGTTTTTTTATATACCGCGAGAGTTTTTTCCCATAGATAATTTATGTATTTAATACATATTCTGGTCAAAAAAAAAAAAATCGATAAAAATCGGTAGAGCTGATGGAAACTCAACCGGCTATAGCCCAAGAGAGAAGGTGGTTTTTTAAATACGCATTTCACTCTTGGGTGTGAGCTGATCAAAAGGAGTAAGTGCGTTTCAACGTTTCAGGGCCAGAGAACACGACCAGAGAAGGTCCTAAAGCAGAGCGTAAATTGTCCCCTCCAGAAAAAGAGAAATGCAACATCATTGGGGTGAAATAGTCGGTGGAAGTGCTGCCTGTGAGGTAGATTGGATTGCAGGAGCAAGAGACCTTGCCAAACGACGTGGATATTTGCTCTGGTGTAGAATTTATCTACGTTGAAGGATCCATTGCCATTTTTCCTGATTTGCTTCAGCAATGAATAAATATAGTATCGCAGTAGCCATAATTGTACTTTAGTTTTGGTTTTCAATAACAATTGTTTGTTTCACAAAATTATCAAATGTCAATAATAAATATTAATACCAAGCGGATGATTTCGAAAGGGAAAAAATCCTACTCCCAAAAATCATTTTCTCTGTGCATTTAGAGTTGGCGGATTTTTTCTCAGAGAATTTCCAAGTGAGCAAGGGAGAATTTCCGCGATAATATAGAGAATTGAGCTGTATGAATAGAAAAGTAAAGATAAGTTGCCGGTTGTGAAAGCAGTAGAAAGCTAGTAGTGACCATTTTAGGCAAAAAAAAATTGTTTGTACTCGGTTAAATATGCCCTAGGAAAAATCACTGAAAATTGGAAGCAGTGAAAAATGAATAAAAAGTACGGAAGTAGATGTCTGCATAACCTCTCTGTATCTCTAGCTTTTTCTTGCAAAGAAGACTTATTTTCAAGGTAAATAAGCTCCATCGGTTTTCAACCACATCTCGAATGCACCTGTGGTGTAACCGCTTGCAGAGTATCAACTTCTTTGAAAAGTGGGAAAAGGTGCATGAAAGATGTTCTGGATGCACTTTCTAATGCCCAACATCTGTTCCCTGCAGAGTTCTTCATTTTACTCATAGCTTGAATACAATCATCATCAACTCCGAAGCCGAGTTTTATGATTTCGGGTGTCAACACCAGATGCAAAGTCGTACAGACCAAACCAGCAACGTGACCAGTTTCCGAAGGCTAGAATAATAAAGTTAAAATTAAAAATTAAATAAATGGATGCAAAGCTTTTAAAAACATGGAACACTTTACAATAAGAAATTCCAATTTGTGGGTATTAGTTTTTTGTCAGGCGACACACCGCGACATATTATAAGTTTTCACTGGTCCGAAGATAAGCAGTTCGGTTAATATGCATTCTAATGGGCAATGCTGATTTCGAGAAGCAGCAAGTCACAAGAAGCTGGCGTAGATTTAACCCCATCGACGAAAAATGTTATATATCGTACGAAACCTGATAAGCACATCCTGCCGGACTCTTTAGCAAAATCAACAGTACCTAAGGAAATATTGTTTAAAAAGCTGGGATGTATTTTCTTTCTAGCAATCAGGAAAGACGGTGGAATGTTGTTGCCAGCAGCATTTTAGGTTCGAGCTGTCGACATTCCACGAACCCCTCAATAAAGGTCCGTCATCGTATATTTATCCTAAATTTCTGAGTAATCAAATACGAGGCTTTCTGATGCTTAGGGCATAATAATAGTCGAGGCATTGTAAAATCTATTGTACAACATCAATTTCTTGAGGCAAAGGGAAAGTCTTAATCGTAAGGAAAATAATAATTAAAATTACGATGAGTTACTTGCGAGAACAGTAAACATTAAACTTACTTTTGCTGCGAACATCAACAAATTCCAACAAACCGCCATTTTTCATTTACTTTCTCTTGGCTATCACTTTATTCCAAAATTGGTAAACAAATTTAGGTGGGGGGCACTCTTCGGTGTACCACTTTGCAGTCACCGTTTGACCCTTTTCCAGTGGAATTTAAGGTACAATTTTAGATCGGGTGATGTAAACTGACATCATTGCTTTTGTTGCTGATTTTTGTTGCTTAGATTTTACGGGTGGGTTTGCTCCTCTCGTGCTCCATACATAGACTGCTTGCTTTCTGGATCGTGCTTATAGAACCAAGATTTGTCACATATAAAGACTTTAAAAAAGTTGCTAGATTGACCTTTTCTGAATTTGTTTAAAAAAAAATTCAGCAAAATGCATTTGATTAAATTTTGGACCTCATTTAAAATTTGTGATATACATCGAGCGGAATTCTTCCTGTATCCCAGTTGATTACTTAATATTCGCAATATAGCCATGGCATTCAGGCCCGATTCATTAGCAATAATTTTTTGTGGTCTACCAGAGCTACACTGACACGTCATCAGTGGAAGATTTTGGTCGACCTTCTTGGGTCTCGTCCTCTACGGAAAAATGTGCGGTCTGGAATCTTCGGAGCCCCTGAAAAATAGTTTTTAAAGGCAGTGCAATCGTTCCATATGCAATTTGGCAAACACTGAATAATTCCTTTGGCTTTAAATTATGCCGAAACCCGAAGAGAATCGCATGGCGAATTTCTGTTGCGTTGATTGGGAAATTTCGTCTGACTTATTCCCAGCTATCTTGCGTTTTCTCGTCACCATTTCTGCCGATTGCTCTAAGATTTGAAAGGAGAACTAATAAAATAATTGCAAAGGATTTGGTATTTTTAAATTTAACAAAAACAAATGGAAAGTCACCAACTGAACGAAC